CAAGGTCTACCTTTAATATACACAAAATAGTATCTTTTAACAATTGCTTCAGGCACTCAAAGCTGGTCGCAAAGTTTACAACGGACGACAAGGTTCTTTGCATCTTGGACTGTGAGACAATAATAGTACACAGCTTAGCAGCTTACAGCTATCAAAAGAGCACCTCTCATTCTCCATTCTTCCTTTAGCTTCTCCTATGCCATTGACCTGCCTCGCTCATTCACGTCCAGGATGGTGTGTACAGTAAAGCAGCGTTACTTGGATTAGTAACTGTAATAATATTACTGTCGAAATAGTAATCTGTCACACTACTAGTTACTGGGAAATGCATTACAGCCCAACACTGCTGGTGACCCACATGGACAGTCATGGAATGTCTAAGAGCACATGCTTTAGCCACACCAATGCACAAAAATTAAATAACCTAATATAATAATAATAATAATAATAATAATAATAATAACCCAACCAACAACATCTCCAGTCTCCCAGAACACGCTTACTATGCATATCGGGAAAGTTAGCGTCAACCAAAAGTATTGTTTGCTCTGAAACACACCAGCCTATCACTTTATTACTTAGGTCTGTAGCGTAGATAAGACACTAGACCTCTCTAACTGGGCAAGCTCTAATGAAAATGACTGTGTGGGGAAGTTCCTTTAACATTAGTGCTTACAAATGGTAGATAATAACCACCAATGCTGACAGTTGCCAGTGAGACATTTATTTTTTTGCCACAGTGCATAATAACTATTTACTTATGAAGGAAAACACCCAACGGCTGGAAAAGCACTAACAACTTTGTAGGCTGTAGGAGTGCTTTTTGGACTTTTGCATTATAGGCCTATGCCTAGTTTACTTAGCCTACTTTCATTGTTGTAGCAAGTTGAGCTAACGTGTGTGTGTGTCTGTGTGTGTGTGTGTGTGTGTGTGTGTGTGTGTTTGATGTTTTTTGATACTTTTGACATGACTGATTGTTTTTTGTGCCTAGCCCTGTACATTTGTTCGTGCTATGATTGGTGTTGCTGGCCTAGGCAATTTCTCGGGAGGTTTTGAGGGTGCACCCATAGCCATAAAATAGGCTACCTTGAAAACGCTACTTGAACTACTTTAATGGCCACTCCAAAATGTATGTATTTTGTAATGTGGACTACTTTCTTCCCAGATAAGCATAGTGTCTAAATCTATACCTAGTTTAGTACCCGTTACATCAAAGAGGGTTAGTCTACAAAAATAGCAGTCTGGTGGTTTGCATGAACAGGGTGGCATAGGATGGAATCAAATTCACAGCCTGAATAATTGTACTAGTCCACCCTTGGTGTAGAGATACGCATATAGTCAAGTCACATGAGACAGGCATGGATGATTAAAAGTATGTGAGTAAGTGTTGTAACAAATGCAAACCCAAACCAAACTGGAAGCCAGACAGGTGGACAGTCACATTATGATGTGTGGCGAAGCAAAAGACATGGACATGTGGAAGGTAACATTTCTAACTAATTAACCATTGCACAGAGGAACAAGATGGAGAGGTACCGTATCTTAAGCTTTTTGGATACTGAACATCAGCCTTTGGCTACATGCTAGGATCAAGTTAATGTTGGTTTTGGTGTTTTAATGGAACAATAATACAAAGCATGTAGTGTCATGTTTTGAATACAAATATATTTAAAAAGAAAGGGTGTTACCTGTAGGAGGTTGCAGGCCCATTGCAGGTCAGGTCCCCTCTGGATCAGGCCTCAGCTCGTTGGGAGGGAGCCTGTTCAATTGAGTCGGAGTAGGAACTTTTTCCTTGGCAGAGGACTTAGCAGCGATCAAGCCCTCTTTCACTATGCTGTCCCTTACTAGTTCTTGGCTATGGTGTGTGAGATTTGAAATTTGAAACACTCAGTAACTTGCGTCATGATGTACAAACCTGGTCAGTGAAGTGAAATAATGGACAAAAGACAATGCATCTGAGGTTTCTTTTTCCTCCAATGATGTGTTGGCTAGAGTGAAATGTTTAAAATATGGTAAAAGCAAACAGCGCTTGTTTTTAATTGGGACATTCCTGTTACACATATACAGCACTATTATTTGTGTGTTGCACCTTTTTTTCTTCACTTAAACACTATTGATAAACCCAGTGCAGTCATGCCCTGCTTCTGCTCTAAAACAGCATTGTGAAAACACTACAGCTTGCAATATAGCTGCAATATAAAGGAACAACGATGCAGCAGCAGGTAACCATCTTCTTCAGGCTTTTTTTGACTTGGTGACTCCAAACTGTAGACTAGAATAGAAGAGCTCACACACACACTTACCTGTACGTTGTGAGTTACAGCAGGTCTTTGGCCAGTTATGACAAAATGGGAGACACTACACAGCTACCCTCATGGCCTACATACTCAGAACTCCTTGCAGCCTAAAGAAGTTCTTTGAAAGGTGTTGGAATGAAACTAATTCCAAACTGTTTAATTCAATTTAAAACTTTTAATATTCAATTTCAATCTGTGACATACATTTTCAAATTTAGCATACAATACTCAAAGTGAACATTTCAGATTCAAACTATTAAATTTAGATTGAACTTGTCGGGCACTAACATAACTCACCTGATGTTACATCTATTATTAATAAATTACCTTGATATCTAGCACTCCTATGTGTTTTTTGGTAAGCATATTGTCTTAATGGTCTTGAAAAGTTTTGTATCTCCAAAAACCCTCTTGTGAATAAATTATATATATAACATGTTTTTTTTAAATATATGACTAATAACAGCATGTTGCAGTATTAAAAATGCTTTAATGGATGTGACATTTTTGTCTTGATGGCAATGGCACTTTCAGAAAAGAACATGCTACTAGCGACTTCCATTGTATCCTACTCATTTTTATACATCAAACCCACCTCAAAAAACTAGATATGACCAGAGAAGGTAATGACATTGTCTAAATCAGTAGTGACATTTACCCGATTTAGCATATGCCTTTAAGAAATAGTGGAATCCATTTCTTCATATAGCTACTAATTCAAAACACATGGAAATGTGAAAAACATCACTTAAGTAATTAGAACTCACAAGGACATAGTCATGAAGTGTTCAGCATTAGTTTGTTTGGGGGGGGGTTGTTTGATTCTCCATTGGTGTAAGTGTTGTACAGATAATAGCATAAGTTGCATTGTGTTACATTTATGCATACAGTAGGTGTGAATACATTGTTGTTTGTGCGAGTAGTATAAAACAAGCCCTTAATCCCACCTACTATTTCACTATGCTGCATCAGCATTACAAGGAAGCCTGCAGAATCTGGCAACACAATGCTCCCCTAATAGCAGAATTCATATGTGGTAGCCATTAAAATATCGCACTATGTCAGCCATGACTGGCTTGAAAATTCACTTCACAGATGCCCTTTGGATCCAACTGAGCCCAGGCTGTGTCACAGCCCGGCACACCCGCAGCCTCATTCCTGTTCCATAAACCTTTAATTCTTCCTCTTTTGCTTCCCTTCTTCCTTTACTCTACCTTTCTCCTGTTCTCTCTCCGCCCCCTCTCTGATTTCTTCTCCCTCTGCTTCACTCTGTGTGTGTCAGTAAAGCCAATAGAGAGAGAGAGAGAGAGAGAGAGAGAGAGAGAGAGAGAGAGAGAGAGACCTGCTTTCTGCTGGCTCTGCATTATGAGAGGGAGAGTGAGGCTGAGGAAAGATAGGAGCAATAGAGAGAGATGTGAGAGAGAGAGCAGTAGCAGCAGTTAAGCAGAGAGCCTGTGCCAAGAGGAGGAATGCAGCACTGCATTATGAAAGCCATAGGATATAGGTCCAGCTCTCTGTGAAAGAAAAAGGAGAGAAGCAGAATTTCAATAGATGAAATGAGATAAAGACCAGACAAATTCCATCATATGCGCGGTTGTAATTATTATACACTCTTAAGTATATAACTATCACATATAAAGAAGAATGTAGAGCATAAATGCTTGTTTCTTAAAATATGAAAATAATGTGCAACATTATGAGGGGCTTTTATGTCGTCTATGCTATAAATGAGCTTTTCTGAGACAGATACAAAAATACCCAAAATCTTGTCATAGAAGGAAAACACCTCCTACTCCTCTAAGTCTAGGTATGAGAGGAGACTGGTAATAATCTGTTTCAGGGAAGAGCTTCATTGACACAAAGGACAAGCTTTGATCACCGCATCTCCTCATCCACATCACGTCACGAACAAAGCCCAAGATTTAGGGGAGGGAAGAGGAGCAGAAGAGCACAGGCAACGGACAGAACAGGGGTTTATTAGACTTGCCATGCATGATTTTTAGGTCAGCCTGAGGCCAAACTTTGCTCCATACACCTGCCTCTCTGCAAGCAGTGGGCTCCAGCCTTGGCAATGAGCTGTGTTTTCCCATGCTATTTTGAGGACAAAACTCAATTTAGCCACTCAGTATGAATGGTATTCTTAAAGTGCCTTCCAGAAATAATGCAATACATATATTATATCAAAAAAACCTTTATGGTTTAGAATAGCATGATGTGTTCCAGTATACCTGTGGAAATTTGCAATAGGGCTGTTTAGTACGTAATATAGTAATATAATTTATATATATAATTTTCTTTGAATGGTAATTCCATTTGGGGAAGAAAATTGCTAAAAGGTTAGCAGTTATCTAAAGATCTTTGTTATGGAAAAGAAAATGGATTTAGAATAAATACATTTAGATTTAGTCTAGAAATAGATTTTCTTTGAGCTTGAACTCTAAAATGGTGGACAGTTTTGTGCAGCAATTGAGCAGCACATAAGAGCCATCCCTTGAAGCAAAAGCTGACATTAAAAGAGTGTACGAGTGAGAAGTAAAAAGTCACTCAGCCAAGAAATGACAGTCCAACACATAATGTAGTTTTTAAAAAACACAGTGACTTAAATTGATGTTGTGATTTGGATCCATCTGAACTGAACGGTGTTATGCAGAGCTTTTACCAGTTAACATCTGGTTCTTAACAGTTACCACTTTCTATCTCCAGGAGGGTCAGGAGCTGATCCAGGAGAAGCCGGAGCTGCGTTCAGTTGTTCAGCAGAAGCTGGAGGAGATCAGAGAGTGCTGGTCCGACCTGGAGAGCACCACCAAGGCCAAGGCCCGCCAGCTCTTTGAAAACAACAAGCCTGAGCCGGCAATGAAGAGCTACTCAGACCTCGACAACCAGCTCTCCCACCTGGAGCAGCAGCCTCCCCAGCTGGAACAGGCACACCATCTGCCCACCTTCAATGAGCAGCTCCAGAAATTCCAGGCAAGTCCCAGGTCTCTCCAGGGTCTCAGAGAAGTTGTTGGTACAAAATCTTGTAATAAGCTACTGTAACTTAAACACAAATTATACTTTCATATGTGAAACACTTTCCTGCGCCTATATATATTTTCTAATTCTTCGTTTTACTCTTAATTCTCATTGTTATTCTTCGTTGCACTCCAGTCTTTGAGCAAACCCTCTAAATCTTGAATCTTAAACCTGTTTAATGGTGAATAACAAGCCCAGATTAAAATTGTGGAGCTAACTTGATTACCTAAGTGTTTATTGCCCAGAAGGATTACTGTGAATATGGAAAGTCAGTCAGACTTGGTATCATTTTTAGTCACTATTATTGTTTTTATCTTTTTTACTTTGCTTCAGTAGTGGTGGAGGACGAATTAAGATATTTTACTTAAGTAAAGCTAACAATAACACAGTATGAAATCAGACATTCAAAATTTTACTTGAGTAGAAGTACATAAGTCATATGTATTATATTCACATTCATATCACAAATACATATCACATTTTAAGAGTTAAAATATTCTTTATGATGCAACAAAATCATATATATTATTTTATTATTGTGATACATTAACAAATAAGAAACATTTTATTCCTGTCAATGTGGAGCCAGTTTTAACAACTTTATTTACTTTTGGCAGTTTAATTTAACTGCATCGTACTTAAATTGGACTATTTAAATTCCACCAGTGGGTTTCAGTTTTGCCTAAACAAAACAATAATTCCTGGTTCTTTGACTCCAACCTGGGACACTGAACTCTGCCAAAAAGATTGTTTCTACTTCCACAGCACCTTTGCCCATGAGAAATGTTCGTATAACTAAACCTCTCTCTGCCTTGATGTAATGCTTTTGACAGACTGCATACTTCAGCTCAATGTTGTTTATGTAATTTTCCCCAGCTCTGACATGTGTCTACAGATGCCGCTGCGTGTTCTTAAACGCGACGTCCAGTGGCATTAAAAAATGCAGCATTAACTTTTTTTCCCCCTTAAAGTGAGGCAACCCATTACATAATCCTGCATGTTCTGATGTTCTGAAAACAGCTGATGTGCTGTGTTCGTCCATCTTTCATATGGCTGAAACATGACCTTCCCCTTCCCTCCGGTGCAGGCTATGGAGTCTCAGATAGGGGACTTTTACAAGGATGTGGGAGAGCTGGGAAGCTTGCAGGGGGTCTGCCTACCCCAGCGAGGGCTGATGGCAGGTGACAGGGAGGGTGCAGAGCAGTCAGGCGTGGTAGAGACCCGCATCGTCCGCCTCATTGAGCCCCTGAAGGAAAGACGCCGCATCCTGCTGGCCTCAAAAGAGATGCACCAAGTCGCTCAGGACCTGGAGGACGAGATGGTGAGTGCACACTTCTTTTCTCTGAATTCCCCATCCTTTCACTTCATGTACTGTATTTCCTCTTCCATATAGGCTACAATGATTTTAATTCCTTTTTGTCTATCCATCAGAGATAATATACTGAGGTATATGGTGTTATGCTACATATAATGAATAAGAATTTAAATGCGTCTTCCCCATGGATTTCATATTTAATACTGTACATCGATCCTTACATACGCAATCTTAAAAAATTTAATGACCTGACTGTGGTTACTTGATAGCTGTGGATTCAGGAGAGGCTTCCCTTGGCCTCCTGTAAGGATTATGGGAATAACCTCCAAAGTGTACAGCAACATGTAAAAAAGAACCAGGTACGTGTCAAAGATGACGTTTGGCCATGGTCAGCTGAAATGTGACCTAACCCCGCTCAGTCTGGGAACTTACCTCTGATTGGTCCTTCAGACCCTCCAGAGGGAGCTGACAGGGCGGCGGGCTCGTGTTGAGGAGGTTCTGGACCGGGCGGGGATAATCGCTTCACTGAGGACTCCTGAGGTGGAGTTTGTGCGTGAAGGGGCAGGGCATGTGCGCCAGCTCTGGGAGGTTTTACAGCTGGAGACGGAAAGGAGGTCTGTGATGCTGGACGCCACATTGCAGTCTCAACAGTACTACAATGAGGCGGCCAAAGTGGAGTCCTGGCTGTCAGGTCAGAAGCTCAATCTGGTCAATGAAGAAAAAGGCACGGTACGGACAGTCCTGACAGTTATACAGGTATTTATAGGTGTTGTGAAACCTATATCTTGACATTATTCTGATATTTTTCAGGATGAGGCGAGCACCCTGCAGCTGCTGAAGGCCCACCTGGCTCTAGAGCAAACAGTGGAAACATATGCAGAGACAGTAGGCATGCTATCCCAGCAATGCCAGCATCTACTGGAACTTGGACACCCAGAAAGGTGTGGCATGACCCACTGTCACACGCGCACTCACAAAGCAGCTCATATAATCCAAGAAAAGAGGAAAGTTTGATTTTTGCATGCTCTTTCTACTGTGTAGGATTATGGCGTAACATTGTCAATGCTCATTTGGTTGGTAGCTGTAACATTCTGTTTTCTCTCAATTTTCAACAGTGAGCAAATCACCAAGCAGCAGTCTCACATAGACCGGCTGTATGTGTCTCTGAAGGACATGGTGGAGCACAGGAAGACCAAGCTGGAACAGCAGTACTGGCTCTATCAGCTCAACAAGGAGGTGGAGGAGTTAGAGAAGTGGATCACTGAGAGGGAGGCGGTGGCCAGTTCCACTGACCTGGGTCAGGACCTTGAGGATGTCACGGTCAGTCCATCAACACGGTTTTAGTTATTACACTACTCTAATCACTGGAAATATTAAACTTTTACATTTGGAGTAATTTATGAGAAAACACTATGAAGCATGATCATATAACTATGTGTAAAATAAAAAAATTAAAAGTGAATGTCTAAAAGAACCGGCATGTAGCAATAATTTTACCACTGCAGACTGCAACTTTAAAATGTTTTATTTCGTTTTTATGCCCTGTGATCTTCTGGTCAAATCATGACCTGATCATTTTTTCAGCCTCATACAACCTGACATTCAACATCCATAGCAAGCATGCCATGGGCCACGAAGCAAAAATGCAAGATGATAAAGTAAATAGGCCTATTTGTAATTATGTCTGTGCAACAGAGTGGTTGCCGTTGGGCCCTGTACATGCCAAATATGACTTTATGCTTTGTTTCGATGCTTTGCTTGAGTTAGGAATGAAATGAAGTCCTAATATTTAAAAAACAGAGCAATACTATTTTAATGAAAAACTCTGGAATTATGGGAAAATGAAGTCTATCTAAAAGAAACTGAAAAATGATTTACAATATCATATTCAACACCATTCAGGAATGGGTGCTTTCCATTTGGCTAAGGTGGCTCCTCGCTTCCCTCACTCGCATCTCCTTCTCACCTCTTAGCTCCTCCCAACATGGATGCAAGGAAGAGACACATGGATGAATGAATTTTGTTTCTAAAACGCAAGATATTGTCATTCCAGTGTCATTTTGAGGAGATGGCAATTAGTCATGACGCGCAGCATCTTAACTGTCTAAATGTGTTTAAAAAACAAACACCTGATGTTTGATGAAAGCTTTCCAATTCTACCAACTACATCACAGAATGTTACTCATATAAATTAAACCAATATGCAATTTAAAATGTGTTTTTACTGAAAGAACAGAAAAAACATAAGACAATAAAACAGCTATACATACCCTGAATGAAATCTATAATTTGTACGAAAGGCTAAAGGTTCAGGCTGATGTTACAGGACAAGATAACAACTGTGCGTTTGCAGCTGTATATTTTTCCTAAATGGACCAAGATGAATGTGTAATGAAAACTATGAAAACGGGGAGAAAAGATATGCATTTTGGCTTGAACTCTTTTCACCTGTGTGTACAGCCATGTGTTTTGTCATCATATTGTTTTGACTGAACTTCCTCCTGCATGCTGTGCAGCTGTGGGGTTTCTCTCCTGTACGGATTGTCACATCTACGTTCAAGTTGCCCACATAGCAGAAAACCAAAGATAAAGTAGACACAGTAGCAAATACTGTTTTTATATTTTATTCATGATTTGTATCGCGCACACATGCAATACATTTTATGTTATGAAGAAACTATAGGGCTGGAATAGGTTTAGATTATTTTCACTACTGATTAATCCACCAATTTTCTTGATTAATCAGTTAATCATTTTGTCTGTGCTGTTTGTTTGTTTTGACCAAACCCCCTGAAACTCAAACTTATGCCATTCACAATGATATAAAAAAGAAAATGTGACTTAAACGATTAATTTATTACCAACACAGTTGACAATAAATCATTGTTTGACACATTTATTAATCAATTCGCCATTTCAGCTCTGTTTAGTGCTCTGTAGTTTTCCAAATATTTACAATTTTACAACAATATTCCTGGTCACTGAGAGTGAGGATGGGAGAAAGCATGATTAGCAGAATGGAAAGCACTCACTATCACAAAAAAATAGCTAATATTATGAGCCTGACAAAGGCAGTGTTTATTGCATCCGTTGCTTGTATCAGAATAAATTAGTTCATGTTATTGTGTCCAGTCCCTGTAGTGTTGTGTGGTTTGTGTGTTCCAGGTGCTTCAGGAGAGATTCACCAAGTTTGCCTCAGAAACCAACAGCATTGGCCAGCAGCGCATGGAGCAGGTGAACAAAATGGTGAACGAGATGATTGACTGTGGCCACTCGGACGCAGCCACAATCGCTGAGTGGAAGGACGGACTGAACGAGTCGTGGGCCGACCTCCTAGAGCTGATGGAGACCCGCCGACAGATGCTGGCAGCATCGCACCAGTTGCACAAGTTCTTCACTGACTGCAAAGAGGTAGAGTCAAAACAAACATCATCCTGTGATTCAGGTGTACCGTGTTCTTCATTGTCGTTTCAAAGGTAAACAGTCTGGCCGTGACATGCGGCTTCTATTTATAAAGCACTCGTGATAACGCCGCTGTCCCGCGTTGTAGGTCTTGGCTCAGATTGCAGGGAAGATGAAGCAGCTGCCAGAGGTGAGGGCATGCCAAGCCAACATCACCAATCCAGCCACCCTGCAGAGACTCATGCACTCCTTTGAGCATGCCCTTCAACTCCTAGTAGCACAGGTGAGTGATATGATTTCTTTCTGAACCCATCAGTCAGTGTTTTTGCTGCTCATCAGCACAATGATGAGTGCCTATAAATTTCACCAAACTTATTTTGACTGTATCGTTTATTTGTTTATTTGTTAGCTGTTGTAGCTTGTTATAGCTCGTTTTGTTTAACCAACAGACAGAAGCCCTAATTAAAATCAGTTCAGTTCAATTTATTTTCTACAAACACAGCCATTCTTCCACACCGGCTTCATTCTACTTTGATGAGGCTACTCACACCCTTTTTCCTGTCTGGGCACAGGTGAGGCAGCTGCAGGAGAACGCTGCCCAGTTGAGGACCATCTATGCTGGTGAGAAGGCTGAGGCCATTATGGTCAAAGAGCAGGAAGTGATGGAGGCGTGGAAGGAGCTGCTGAGCTCTTGTGAGGCCAGTCGCGTCCAGGTCACTTCAGTAACCGACAAGGTTCAGTTCTTCTCAGTTGTGCGTGAAAACCTGATGTGGATGGAAGGCATCATGGGCCAGATTGGATGGGATGAGCCCCGGTAAGAGATCTGCCATATCCTTGTCTTTATTATTTGGTGTTGAGATGTGCATAAAACCTGTTGTATGCAGCATATGGTCCAGGTTTAGTAGCTGCATTTTGTGGTTCAGTGTTCAGTTTAACTGAAAGTCTCTGTGGTCTCGTGCAGTCCCTGTAGACAGAGTTTCATTACAGTGTAGTGTCAGATTAGTCTGCTGTGCCACCTTGACCTAATTTCACATGACATCTGTTATTCAATTTTTTTATGGTGTAATTGAAGTTTATATATTTTACGCTGTAATCACGACCATTATTTGTCATTTCACCCAAACACTACCACTATGCAATAACCTCGTAGCACTTTAACACAAATCTTGATATCTTTTAGCAGCTGTCAATATATCAACATATGCATGGACAAATCAAGATGGCAAAACATATGCACATGTCCTGTATAGGGCTGCAACTAGAGGTTACATTTAGAGTTAAAATGTTTAGTTGAGTAATTGATTAGTTGATCAACAGAAAAGGCAATCATGTTGATAATTCAGTCATTTTTCAAGCAAAATTCTCTGGTTCCAGTTCCTCAGTTGTGGAGATTTTCCACGCCACGCCACAAAATCACCAAAGTCACCATTTTATAGACTAAACGATTAAATGAGACAATATTCGACAGAGTCATCAAAAACTTAAGTAATCATTTTAACTTATTTTATGGTCAGTCAATTGTTTAGTCTTGAAATTGCTTCTTATGTCCAATCAACATTGCAAAACCCAAAGATGTTTGATTTACAATGGAAAAAAAGAGAAGAGAGAAAAGCAGCACATACCAAGGGTCTAAACATCTAAGCATAGAGGGTGTTGTATGCTGTGCAGATTGTTAAACCTGTTCTAATTTACTTGACTTGACAGATGTTAACATTTGTAATCCTGGAACCAGTGAATGTTTGACATTTTTGCTTAATAAATGACTTAAGTATTTGATTGAATATCAAAATTCCTAAGATCTAAGATGCATACCATGTGACTAAAGTCTCCAGTTCAAATCTAGCCTTTTTTGCATGTCCTCCCCATCTCTCTCTCTCCACACATTTCCTGTCCATATCTCTAATGGATCAGAGATAACGGTGAAATGCCCCAAGAATTATCTTTTAAAAAAGGACTAAGAGTAAGGGTAGGCATGCATAGTGACGCCAGCGGCTGTGTGAGGCTGTGATGCTCATTGTACAGAAATGTGTGTTTGATCATTAGCAGTTGTGGTGAAGTGAATATAATAATTGGCCAGAGGGTGCTGTCAACATGAACGTCTCTGGTAACCTTTCAGAAGGGTTTATCACGCTGTGTGCATGGAGGTATTGCATAGTCTATTTGTGTGAGGATGGTGTAAGCTGGTTCAACTGCTGGCACTAGAGAAAAAGCCAGGGGATCCCCAAAGTCATTATTATTCATCCTCTGGACACCATGGATATCTGTACCAAATTTCAAAGCAATCCAAAAAAACAAACGTTTGGACTGTAGTGGTGGTCCGGGCTGACCGAGTGACATTGCCATCCCTAGAGCCACGCAACTAATCTGAATCCAGAAATCAAGGTCATTTATTTGTCATTTTACTATACAGGGTTGCACAATGAAATGTAGGTTGTAGCTCCTTCATTCTACACACATAGAATATATATTTAGAATACAATAAATAAAAAAAGTTAAACAGTATATACAGTTATTTACATCTATACATGTACACACCCAGAAAGTTATAATTCTGTAGTGTATTTTTGAACTTGCATCTGTGGGAATGTAAAAAGCAACAACAACATAGTGTTGGTAATATGGCCAGCATATTAACATAAAAAAAACTTGACATCTGGGAAAAACCATCAACCATCTTAACTTATCCAACTTTGACTATGTTTGCACCAAGCATCATTGATGTAAATGCAGAGTCTGCCTCATCTCTTCTTGTGTTCTGTCGGCACGGAACTTGGCCATTCAAGCGCAATAGCTTGGTCTGGGATGCTGTGATGAAGCCAGGTCTCTGTAAAAATGTTGGCACAACATTCTCTTATTTCCCGTTGCTAGGTTAGCCCCATTTCATCCATCAATTTAAAATTCTGATAATCCTCTAATAAACTGGTATGCTTGTGAAGCATACAGCTAACATTTTACACTCTGCAGGTAGAAGGATTTTCTAATAATCTGAATAATCTGCTCCTCCTCAGAGATTTGACGGCTCTGGAGGTGATGATGAAACAACATCAGGAGCTGAAAGCCAAAATAGACGGCCGCAGCAAGGCTATACAGCAGTGTGCAGATCTTGGCAAGATCCTGATAGCTGCAGGCAACCCTGCATCTGAGGAGGTCAGGCTTACAAACAGAGTCCAGCACATTAGAATGACTATCAGAAACGCCACTAAAGAATACATAAAAACCATACAATTACTTGATTACGATGTAACAATATGTTGTTGTGCTCATAACTGCATTCTGTCTATCACTACAGATTAAAGAGAAGTTGGACAGTCTTCTGGCTAAGCAGAAGGATCTTGTTGAAAAATGGGACAAATACCAGGAAAAGTTACAGCGCAGTGAGTAACTCACAAGACGACTACACCAGAGCCAGAGCAGCTCTTAACACAACACTGTTAAATGTCAAATGGAGTCTATAAACTATAAACGTTTTTTCCGTATTGCCCTGCTATTATGAATCATGCATGAATCTTATTGTTCGTCATGTTTGAACTAACGTTACACTCTCACTCTGAACCATAATATACACACAATCATAAAACTAAAGATTTCCACTGGAGTGTGCATCAAAAGTGGTGTGATAGTAACTGTGCTGTTGGTCTGCTGTCACCTCCAGAGCAGGAAAAGTTCCAGTTTGCCCAAGAGACAGTAAAGGCGGAAGCCTGGCTGAAGGCCAAGGAGCCGCTGATCACGTCCAAGGAGCCAGAGGGAGGAGAGGCCCGGGCCCAAACAGACGAGGTTGAGCAGCTCATCCTTCGCCACGAGGCCTTCCGCAAGGCTGCGGTAACCTGGAAAGAACGCTTCAGCTCTCTCCGCCAGCTTTCCGCAGTAAGCATGACTGTAGATAAATGTTTAATCAGTTTGGTGGAGTCACAATTTAATGCTGCTACGAAAAAAAAAAGTGACCTTGGGATGCTGTGTTTGCTTAGCAGGCATTGGTGCATGCCATGTGTTTGCATTGTTAAATCTGTCTCATGATGTTTACTGCATGTGGTGTACCCTCACTCACTGCACCCCATCTAGCTTTCATGCTACATTGTTTCGTAGCCAATCAAACAGACTGTTTTGAGCAAATCACTCCCAATAATGTTTTGTATTTCTATTTTATTGGACCATCCTGCCTTTGTTTTCTGGTTTTAATTGGGCTTATCTATTAGTTATTTAGTTCACTCTCTCTTTAGGCTGAGAAGAAAAAAGAGGAGGAGAAAAAGACAACCCCGCTCTCCAGCCGAAGGATGTTCCCATTATCTTGTCTGACTCCCTGTGTTCCCTCAACCAGTGCTACCTCATCTTTCTTGAGGCATACGGTACAGGCACACATAGAACCCAAACCCTTACAGACCAGTCTGGATTTGGGTGCCACCCCTGCAACCCAGAGATTGTCCTCAACCCTCTCCAGCTACAACCCAGTTTTAAATGGATCAGGCTACCATGGACTGGAGCAGCAGTGCAGCGGGAAGTTGGTGAGCTCCTCATACCTTGGGATGAACCACCAGGTGGCCGGGGCTGGAAGTGACTCTGGTTTCTCTGCGCTGACCTCCCACAGTGTTGGAGCAGACACTTCTACTTACCTTGGGATAAGCCATCAAACTGCTGGCAGTGCAGAGAGCTCTGGTTACTTTGGACTGACTACTGGATGTGTGGGCGGTATGCAGAACAATCTAGGCAGTGGCAGGTTAGGAAGTTCAGGTAACATAGCTCAGCAACCAAGCAGTGGAGGTATGGGAAGTCCTGGCTTTCTGTCTCAACAGAATATGGGCAGTTCTGGATACTTGGGACAGCAGCTTAATTTGGGGAGTTCAGGATATTTGGCACAACAGCCTAACTTGGGGAGTTCTGGTTATTTGGCACAACAGCCTAACTTGGGAAGTTCTGGGTATTTGGCACAGCAGCCTAATATGGGGAGTTCTGGGTATTTGGCACAGCAGCCTAATATTGTGAGTTCTGGATATCTAGCGCAGAATTATCAGAGCAGTGGGGGATTGGGTAGCTCAGGCTTTCTGGCACAAAATCATTACAGCAGTGGAAGTCTGGGTAGTTCTGGTTACCTGGCACAGAGTGGTGGTATCATGGACCCTAAAATGGCGTATGCATGGCAGCACCTGAAAGCTGACTTCATTCAGCCCAGGATCAACCACATTCACAAGGCTGTAAACCCACTCCTAGAAGCCAGCAGAGTGCAGCGGGAACAGTTTGGGGACATCCCAATGGCAGACATGGTGGGCCCAGAGTCAGGGCTGGAGCTGCTCCACGGCCGTCTCCAGAGGGATCCCCGTGGCAGCCGCTCTGATCCTCAGATGGATCATCTGAGGCGAGAGAGGGAGTACAAGCTGGGTAGACAGACTTCCAGCGAACAGGAGATCCAGGCCAGGCTGAACGAGCTGCCGCTGATTGTGCGTCAGGAGCGTTACCGGAGGCGCCTGGAGAGACAGTCGTCCAGTGAACAGGAGGGAAGCAGCAAGCAGAGGCTGCAGAGGCAGGACTCAAGCGACCTGGAGGGCTCTGTTAAGGAGGGCTCTGACAAACGCTCGGGGTATGTGAATGAGTCGTCCTGGTGACAGTGAAATTCAAATGATATTTACAGAATTTGGTTTTACAGTTTGCCTAGTCAGAACTGTCCAGTGTGACACTAAGGTCACATAAGGATTGTGTTCACTGTTTGGATGACTTTCTGTTGTCACTGCAGGGACAAGAGATCTACCATGGCAGAGATTGTAGAACAGGTCCAGGAGAGAGAAGCAGCACAGGTGAGTTAGCTTGCATACAGTATCTCATGGTGTTGCGTGTCATTTTTCTTTGTGTCTTGGTGTCAAATTATCTTTTTTCCATGCATTTCTAGGCGCGAGGAGAGCCTTATCGTCCTCCTAGCAGCCTCTCAGCACCTGTCACTCGTTTTGATGGACGTCCTCGTGCCCGAGACCGCCCCAAACCGAGGAGGAGGCCCCGTCCAAAAGAGCCCGAGGAGACACGACGTTCTCGCTCAGCTCCAGCTACTGGTGCCCCAACGACACCTCAGCCACCTTCACACACTGCCCATAATGAAGGCTTCCTCTACCGCAAAACGGCCACCACCTCTGACCTTGAAGCTCAGCAGAGAAGCCCTAACAGGTACAACCACTATTGATAAATTGTTCAACAGACATAGCTTACACATGACCGCTCACTCAAACAGTGACTCTCCAATTGTTGCATCCTTAACAAAGCACAACAGGCTACCAAGCTTGGATTTCCACATGTTGAAGTGCATGGGGCTTTAACAGGAGCGATACTCTCCACAGATTGTTTTGAGAGTGGTGTCTTTTTTTTAAAGCCTTTTCAAAACAAAAAACAACAAGAGCGAAGCTGTGAGGAATGGACTGAATAATGTGTTTATCTGCTCCAACATAAGATGCAAATGTTAGCATGTCTAACAAAGTAGCTTACAAACTACAGTAGTAACCAGTCCTTACTTCCAAGGCCAACTAGTGCATCATGAACTACCTAATGTCATTTGTGGGATTATATCAGATTAAAGAAATCCCTGGACACAACTAGCACATCCACTGTGTTGTATTTTCCCACTGTGTGGAAGTTGATCCTGGAAGTCAGAGTTTAGGAGCTACTCCCCTAGATCTACATTAGCAACAGCAGGTTTAACTCCAGCAACCCCAGATAGCCAAACACGTCGGCTAGTCGTCATAAAAGTCTTTTCGTCTAAAGTGAAAACAAACAGTTTGAAAATACACAGAAGTTGCAGCTGCAGTGTATTTTCGCAGTGTGCTGCGCAGCGGCGAGCGCAGCTAAAATCGCAATGTGTCTTCAAGGGAACAGTCTGATTGCACTTTTCCATATCATAACTGTAAGACTAGAACTAACTAGCTCTACACTAATACTAAGAGCCTTGCTGTTTCTTTATTTCCATGTCCTCTACATGGATCACCAGCCAGCGAGGATGCTGACCGCTTTTCTATAACATGTAGCTTCTAGCATATCATGTATGTAGCAATCAACTGCATATTTAAGATGACTATTTTAAACGATTCAGCTGGAAACATTAAAAAATCCGACAGAGACAGTGTTTCTAACCAACTCATGGAGTTCATGCTATTCTGTCAACAACAGTTGACAATTTTAACTGCCAAAATCATTGTTGGTCTGCTCGAGATGAGAAGATAGCTTTTGTCTATCTGTCTGAAATCAAGTCCCCCATTGTTTCTAAAGTTTTGAAGAATTTTGATGGTAAATCTGCCACCAGTGTCATTGTAAACTGAATATGTGTGTGTGACAACATTACAGTCATAGTAACAGTAACTAAGGGGGGCGGGGCTTGGCATAAAATCAGTTCAATCAAATTAGCTTCAAATACATTGTAAAATATTTAGTTTGTTTTTGTACCCTTGTAATGACGGTATCATATGGTCTTTTTTTAAGACATAATTGCCTTGTTATTGTTAGGTATCGTGTTCATCTTTACCTGTATTGAAAGAAGCAAATACGCTAAATGTGCCATTTTGATTTTACAGCAAGTCCTGGGTGAACGTTTATTGTGTGCTGAAAGAGGGAAAGCTGACCTTCTACAAGGATGCTAGGAACCACAACACGACGTACAATGAAGAGCCTCCCGTTGACCTTAGTAACTGCTCATTTGATCCTTCGATGGGATACAAGAAGAAGAAAAATGTTTTCATTCTTCAGTAAGAGCTCTTCATTGTTTTTTTTAATTTTAACGGCAGAAATTGTGAGTTAATTTGTGATTCTACTGAGTGATTTTCAAATTTTTTCCAATTTTAATAAGAAGTTATAGCATTTAGCCTATTTCTCCAGATTTAAGAAAGAAATATAACACAGAATATTAAATAAGTGCAATGTCATTTTCATTCATTGGACATATGGTTATAAAAGGCATTGCAGTGTATGAGAAACTGACAATCCCTGTTGATTTTCTCTGCAACAGAATAAATGATGGAAACAACTTTGCATTCCATGCAAAAGATGAGGTAAGAACATTTATATTTAAATCATGTTTAAGAGGAGCAGACATTAGGACATAATCCACTTTCCTTTATTTTAGACTTTCTTTGTGCCACATACTGAAAGAGGTCCATGATAGACTCTAAGAGAGCAGATAAGAGATTTCTACACATTATGGGTATAATACATATCTATAATATAATAATGTATACCTATAATTTAGGTTTGAAGCAGGCATCTGCATTCCGTAATGTTAAAGGATACGTCTGGTGATCTTCTGTATTTTTCTTATTGTCAACAAATCCAATGAAAAGACCAAGCCAAGTATGAACCTGTCATACTAACAAGTAGTGTAGGATCAGTCTGTTCAGTCTGTATATCCAAAGCCTGAAATATCTTATGCCTCTGTGCCATAGAGCTCCATTGTCTGGGAAAATAGTCCCCAACAAATGCACTTTTAATTTCCTCCTAAGTTTTGCTAAAACCTACAGTGGCCAGCTTTTCTAGGAAATTACAGTAGGAATCAATGGGCATGGGAGCCACAGGCAGGCTGGGGAAGTCAGAAAGCTTTGAGAGACAGGCTAACACATCATTTGCTGACAATAACAAAAATATAGCATATGGCAAGCCTAATCCTTCACAGAATAATAACCAGACAAGAACCTGTATGCTGAGAAAAATGAATTTAGAACATTTTGTTCAGTTTTCACACCTTTTGATCATCGCCACGTCCAAATAGATGTCAGACATTGCACCAGTTTGTCTATTTTTAATTTCCTTTCTTTTTGTTTTCCTCTTTTGGATTATTAAAATAACACAAGATATATACTGTCAGTATCTTCAGATATCAGGACAACTGTAGGGGGGTTGTTTTTTTCTTCTCTTCTTTGTGGAATTATCTCAATTTAATCCAGATATTGAACCTGTACTGTATGAAAGACTTTGATTCACTGTAAAAAATTAACTTAATTGGAAGGACCTAGTCCCAGTTTTTTAAAGTTGTGCCAAGCAACTGGGAAATCACTCATAGAATTCTTAAAGTCCAACTGAAATGATGGTTTCATGATGGCACTTGTTTTGCATTAATTTGACAGAATACCGTTTCATTATCTGTCTAAGTAGATAGAGACCTTATTTCAACACAGCCAGTCAAATCTTGCAAAAAGCACTGACATCAGCATTCTATCATAGGCAGAGCAGACGGTCACACTGAGCTAGACAACAGGCATTTTGAAAAACCACTTTAGCTTCCCGGCTAAAGTCACCTTCTTATCTAACTTAAAAACATGAACATGTCTTGTCCTGCACCCTTAAGCTTATTGAACAAGCTACCAAACAAACATTTACCAGGAAAAGATGCATTGCTAATGTCAGTTTGCAGGCTACATAGCTAGTTCACTGCAGCACATTAAACACCATGTAAAGATACATGCAAACGTCACTTGGGCCCAGTTGAATGCTGGTGTGGTCTGCCCGTGCAAGTTTGTTAACTTGGTCTCTCGCTCTCTACGGTGTCAGTCAAACACAGAAACAGACACACACATCTCCCTAGCAAGCTAAGATGAAAAAAAGCATTTCTGATCTTTCCCTAAATATCAGATATATTTAAATTGTTTTCTACCATTGTTTTCTACCTTTTACTAAAAAAAACTATTAAACCCACTAAATTATTAATTAAAAAAAGGAGTGAATGCTGATATTATTTTTGTCTACAAAGGATGACTAAATGTGGTTTCAGTTGAACTTTAAATGTTTCCTGCACTTTATTTACCAGAAAAAAAGTCAAGTGACGACCAGTGGTGGAAAGAAACCAAGGATATTTTCTGTAACTGAATATTTCTATTTTATGCTACTTTATACTTCTGCTCCACTAGATTTGTGAAATTTTTTACAACATTACATTAAATTACTAGTGACTTCTCAGATTAAGATTTTATAGGGAAAAAAAGCATATTATTAACTTTTAGAATACAACACAAGGTCAGCTTCAAATCAATTGTCATTTTGTGTGTACTGGAAACATGTCCCACTTCTATCCACCCACCATTTTGAGCTGACACCTGAAATCAAAGAAGTTGATCTACAGTTTGGATTGGATTACCTTCTCTGTTGCAGGCTCAAATTTTGATATGAAATGGTGTTAATTCCGTGTGTCTTTGCTGGTCTCTGTAGGAGGACCTGAAGGCTTGGACTTCAAATATCACCACCTGTATAGCTGAGCATGAAGCCATGGCCAAGTGGGACAAGCCAGGGACATCGTCCATGGACCCCGACGGTTCGGAGAGGAAGGAGAAGTCGGAGGGCGACGCAGATGCCAGGTCAGAGAGGTCCGAGCTCGCCGAAGGGGAGGAGAGGTCTGAGAAGGAGAGGTCAGAGAAAGGGGATGGCTCTGAGAAGTTAGACACGTCAGAAATTGCAGACAAATTGGATGGCGGGGCAGGGGGCTCCAGCACATCTGGAAAGAGCAAATGAGGAGCCCCTTTAGCATTACTCACTGACAAAAGGTGTAGGAGGTGGTGGGTGGGAGGGATGGATGGAGAGCATGTGCAGCTAGGTTTGAAGATCCTCAGTCACAGAGCTGGAACACACTGAGGCCATGGTCCTTGGACTGACTATTGTTACTGTGACAGACTAAACTCTCAGCCCCTCCCCTCCTTCACCCAGCCAATACATCAGTGCTTGCATTGTGCCACCTACTGGTAGACAGGAGGTCGGCACAGACAGACAGACAGACAGACAGACTCCAACAAGTGGTCCCAGATTAGCCACTGTCACGTCCCATTGATGATCGTTTAATCTCTTGGACTCACAGCATCTTTCTGTATGTATCTTTGACTGATAATGTAATGCTCTGTCTAGCTAGACAAACCTGAGAAGAGGTGAATGAAATGTTTCACAATATTAAAAAGGAAAAAAAAAACATTTTTGAAGCAATATACTTTTTTATTTCCTCTCTTTGTTAAAGAGAGAAAAAGGGAAAAGGAAACAAGAAATAATTGCAAATGTGAACTCTATGATTTGTCACATCCATGTAAACTCCAGGCAGTTGTGCACCTTAGACACTTGACACATCTGTATACTAATCATAAAGACATTTAATCCCATCACATGGCTAGCTTTGACTCATCTTAATATAATGGAATGCTGGTGTTGCCCACCTGACTTCATTGTGTCAATGAATACACATTTCTACAGTTTATTTTCAGTTATTATTATTATTATTATTATTATCATTATTATTTGTATACAATGATCCATGTCAAGAAAAGAGCTTTCCATCAAATTCTAATCCATTATCCCAAGGTGTTTTCAAAGTGGTAATGTTCAAAGTGACACTCAGCCTGTGTGACACAATGCCTTTGTATACATGACAAAAATCAGAACATTGCATGAAATAGTCTATTAGTGCACCTGTTAAACTTGCCTTTATTTTTATGTTTTTGAAAGCAGTTTTGGAATTGCAATAACTTAAGTGGGGGAAATGAATCTGCTATCGTGGTCCACTTCTCAAAATTCAGAGGTAAGTTTGACAAAGTAGGGTTGTATTCTATCCATCACAGTAAGCATGAGAAGAAAGGGGTGTTGTTGTTTTGGGGGGTGGGGGGTGGGGGGTGGGGGGGGGGTGACTACTCCTTGATCTGTGACATGAATTAAGAAGCCGAATGGCTGTTTGTACTGTATTACTGCAATTTATTTTCCACAGAATGTACTGATTTCAGCTATGAAATGTTCAATCACGTTTGTGGAGCCCAAAATTGTAAAACCCTGAAGCAGTTCACTGAGAGTTAAACCTCTCTGTACCCTGTGTCCCTCATCTGAAGTTGAAACTGATTGGAATATCTCCATCAAAGGCAAGTTAAATGTAACTGTCATGATTCAAGTCATGAATTGTATATACCTATCTTTGTATGTATACCAATAAACCCTCTAATAAAACAATACTCTGAAGTGAAATGGGTAAAATTAAAACATTTGTATTAATCCACAAATTAAAACAATCATCCCTCAAATATATTAATGTTTATTACATTTAAATTTAAAATATGCAAATTAGGAGTCACTATTAAATATCATAGTGTATATACGTACACCAGTATCTAGATGTATGAAACACCTTTTACCAGGGAAGAGCAGCAGGACATACTGTGGGTATGCTTGTTGTATTTTTATATGCCTATATTTATTCATATCAGATTCAGGAGTTGCCCCGCAGCCCCAATAAGAACTTGTAAGAATAGCTGAGTGTGTATTCAGTGTGTCTGTAACAGGTGTGCTAAATTTATATATTACAAACAAACAAAAAAATCAACAAGCCCGGGCAGTTCAGTACATGCTGCTCTGGATATTCAAATTATTGGTGACTAAACTAAAATGCAGTATGCTGTGATCACAGACAACAGCCATTAGTCCATGTATTGTTTGTCATGTATGTCAGTTGTTTTTACATATATAAGTACAATTTAAGTTTCCTTAATGTAAGTAAAGTGTAACCATTTTGACACATTGTACTCACATTAAAAACAGAGGAGGAAATAAACATGCAGTGTGCAGTAAAACACAGACAGCAGCAGAGACTTTGTTCAAATGTTTTTCCATTTTCCATCCTATCACATTTCACCTCAAATATGTAAAAAACAAAAAAAGCTTTCCATAGAAACACCAGAAGTATATCTCAGATGCAGCAGTATTTGAATTCACTGACTGAGGATTGTCGTGACAGTGTGCTGTGTCTGTCTGTATTACTGCAGCCTTCGAGGTGAATGAGAATGGATAAGCTATGCTATGATGTGGATGTTGTTGTCATTTGACAGTCACTGTTTTTACATAAGTGCCATGTCATGCAGTTTGCTGGAAAAGAGAAAACAATTGGTTATTGCAACATGAACATTTAATTTAACCTGACACTCAGAGTCTGTCATTGCAATACACATTTTTATCATTGCAATAGGTGATACAGTATTTTCATGTGGCTGTAATTGTTCTAAATTCATTGCTCATGGAAGATATTTATCCCCCATCACAATGTGTGTTTGCTTCCCATCACTTTTATGAAACACACGATGGATTTTTTTCAGCTATGGTATAACAGTAACAGTCGAAATCAAATAGGCAGAGTAAACTGTGACTGAAGAAAAAAAATGTGCAAACTTTGTTTCCTTCATTGATGGTCTTAAACGTGTGTATGTCTTTGTTACTTTACATTACAACTTGCTGCTATGACATTAAATAAACCTCCAAACCTGCTGATGCAAACTTGACGTGGAATTGATGTGGACACACATACTGGTCACAGACACACCTAATGGAAGCGGTTTGTTCCTCACATTGATTTCAGCTTCAAGCTGAGTGGTTCTCTACGCAATTGCATATTCTTGACCCTAACAATCTACTTTTACTACAGTTCTCTCTATCCATGAATTTAAAGTGGAAGACTCAAGCTGAAAAGATACAACATTAGCATCATGTGGTAGCAGCAGCACTGGTTAGCAGTGTAGGCTACTCTACATGATCAGCTCCATGTGCTCTATGCTGATGGCTTGGTGCTACCAACCTTATGGAACAAATTTTGAGGTCATGCAGAACATATTGTGAAGTGTGTAGGTGTGGCATATGCAAGCACACTCAACTGATACACTTATCTTTTCGAAACATCAGACTGTTTGTGTCCTTCACTTTAAGTGTTTAGCGCCCTCTGCAGTTAGAACTGGACTAGACTTCATACTGACTGGTGCAGGAAGGAATCATTGGTGGAACTTAACTGAAGGCCTTGTATTTTCCAAACTGTGTCCATGTCAAGGGGTTATCTAAATGCTTTTGATCCATCCACCATTGCTTCTGTACATACAGTAACTGGTACAACGCAAATGCTGTATTTATGGCTTTCTGATAGCAGCCGATGAAAATGCTGAATCTCATCCGAGCTACGTACGTGCAGTTTTAAAATAAAATGTGAGTGGACGTGTGAATCATTTATGTGAGTAAAAATAAAGGTTCATGCAACGTTTGTTTTGCATTTAAGTACAGGCCCTTTCACAGTGTAAGACAGTAGTGGTGATGCAGGGTCTATTCTATAATAAAACACAAAAACAAACATACATGTATGTACAGTACTGCACAAATTCTGCACAAACTTGATGTGTTTTAAGAATGTACAATTTAATAATGACTTGTTTATTGAATTGAATAACATCTGCCAATATCTGTCTGTGGAAATATGAAATATGGGATTGTCTCATAAAATCTGTTCATCCCTTGATTTTGCCATTGTCTTTTTTCCCCTCTGTAGGTGTGTAGCACAGCCAAAGACAGACACTTTATATTTTTTACAGTGAGAGTTATTCTAAAGTCTGAGAGGAATCGTGAGGTGCTTCAGGTGAATTGTTGTGATTTTATTGTCTGACTGATAACAATTGCAAAATATCTCAAACACTGCCCTACTGTTTTTGACCAAGAAAACGATATCTTGCCACTGGATGTTACAACTATAGCCATTACATGAAATAATTAGAAAAGACCAAGTACAATGGCATGCAAACCTCTGCAGCTCTCCTAAATCCTGAAGGTCAATGATGACTTGTTCAAGAAATGTGATAAAATGTGCATCTCTCTGTGAAAATGTGGGTAAATATGTTCCCTGAGCCATGAAGCCTAAATGTAGGCCCAGTTCTAATCCACAGTGACACTTTGCTCTGTGACTCCAGTAACATAATAATCCTTTCACAGTGCCCTCCACCAGATTCTGTACACATCTGTCAGGTTTACAGTTACAAGTCAACTCAACCATGAGGTAAAGCACCACTGTTACCTTGAGTGAGAGGAGTCTGAATATTAATATTTCAGAATCAATGCAAATGTAATTATTACACATGGTCAAAGCAGTGAATTCTTTCCAAAGCAGATTACATGATCTCTGTGTCACGCTGCAGAGAAATGCTCAGGATCCGAATAAATGAAACCCACTATTTTTGTTTAAAGGTTAGTGTTATAGACTGGGGAACACCTCCAGCTACATGGCATTAAATATAAATGGCATTGTTGACTCAGAATGATTGATTGAGCTCACTAAGAGAAGCCAGATAAGTTTGGACCTCGACCTCTCCCTGCTCTCCTCCCTGTACTTCAGGGCTAAAGTGGTGGGATCGTCCACAGTCTTGCCCATGCTCAGATGAGACAGCAGGTCCTGGGTGACATTCAGTCTGTTGCAGCAGGAGCAGAGTTCAAAGAGATCAGCCTTCAACTGGCAGCCCTCAGCCCTTGGACACTATGTACTGTAGGAGATGTTGTTGTGATATGTGAGACAGTGGGATTACTCACAGGAAAAAGATGGTGGATGCTGCCTGAGAAAGCTTGACCTGCGTTGCAATTATGAGGAGCTGCCTGTCCAAGCCTTTCTGAACATATGTAATTTCTTATTTGTACAACATATTAACTTGAAAAAATAGAAATTACCCTGCCCCCCCTCCTGTCAAAATGTGTTTACATGCTGTTCCTGTGGTGTTTGAGCTTCACTGTGCGGAGTGGTGTTTGTGCAGAGTTTGACGCTAAAAGGCTGTTTTTTACATTCATCTGCTGAAGTTCCTCTGGGCTCATCTTAAATCTCAGTTTAACACCTGATGTACCAGCAGGATTTGTTACATCACAACTACATCACAACTTACACACGTGTGTTGTGAGAGAAAATGGAGCAAGTGTCATTTGTGATGAGTAAATTTGACTTTTCTGTGGGAAAACAATATTAAACACAAAAACATGTCCAAAGCAGAGTCATAAACACGTCTGTTGGGGATGTTTAAATATGTTGTATGTTGTACTCAAAGGTGTTCTTACAAAAATAATTATATTAATGAGGACCGTTTTATAAGCTCTGTCCTAAAGCTGTCTCATTTATTTAGTATCAATTATTCTGTATCTTTATAATTCGTTTGAATTCCTTTAGTTATTTTATGGACATGTAAGGTCTTGCTAGAACTGGGAGCGTCACGTGACCTGTAGTTCACATTGTACCTGTGAGCGTGACGCTCCCGACATGGTGTACGCAGCTACGGAAGCCGTAGAGGTTTGCGCGAGAGCTGTCCAGCTTGCTTCCTGAAAATGGCGAGCTGGGGAAGAGTCGCCGCTACCTTGAGGAATGTTTTAAGGAGCCCTGTGTCGCTGAGAAGTTTAGCGCTGCGCCGTGCTGTCGGCCCCGGTGTTTTGGCGTCTTTAGTCGGAACTGGGGTTATCTGTTATTACCGCTATCATGCGAACAACAGGACTCTGCCCTTCGCCGTTCATGCTGAGGGAGAAAAAGTGAGTTGCCAAACATTAAAGTTACACACAAGAAAGTTTCTGTCGTCGAAACTGACGGCAAACAGAGAGACCTAACGTCATGTGACCACTATACTGTTCACATGCCCGTCTATTTAAACATACAGATGTATGTTGCTTAATACGTGTAACGGTGACAAACGAAATGAATATTTAGAGTGCGGGCGTAATAAATGCTCAGCCAAGAGTTTGTATCAACGAACGCCCCTCAGCTGTCACTCACTGACAGCATACAGCGTGAAGTGCTGTTTGTTCTTTACCAGGCCCGCCCTGAGTTTTCATGTGGTCCAGTAAGTTAGTTTACAGTGATACATAATTCACCTGTGCTGTTTCAGGACACCGCAGCTGCCCCGCAGTGTCCCAGAAAGCTCCGTTTCATCCAGTTCGCATCAGCGATCTACGAAGACGAGCCCTACATGACCCCGAGAGACTTCCTGTTCTCTGTGATGCTGGACAACGTTGACCGTAAGCTGCACTGACGTCCACTTACTTTATAGTGTCCATCTACTGACAGAACACCATCTTAGTCTATCTAGTCTGTCCTCCCAGGCGATTCTACAGATTCTCCTTCAGTCTGTGTCACAAGCTGTTGGTTGTTGATTGCTCTTCATGCCATAGGCTGATCATAGGAAGTATCAGCTCTTTATATGTTCTGTAGAGCTTGTGTATGAAGCCTCTGTAGTTGGAAAAACATCTCAAATTTAATGCAGCTATTTTGCATATCATTTTCCTGCCGACATTCAGGTGCATGAAAACAATTCGCATGTAATGCCGCCTTCATGCAGTTGCTTATTATACAATTGTTGCTGTCCTATTAATTCATCTTTTTGTTTTGTTCTCTTGTAGGGAAGCTGCAAAAGAGAATTTTAACAACACAGGTATGTGCACATCATCACATTTTGTAACATAAGTTAGTATCCACCTGCACATGTAGATCATCGTCACTTTTGTGCTCTTATCTGTTTCCTGTTGGTATCTTTGCAGGAAGTTAACAAAATGTTGGTTGCTGCCTCTAAAGCTCGGGCTGGTAATGAACTGTTCAGAAGCTTAGGAGACCATGGTAAGTCTTCAGTCTGTCAACAGAGTGGTGTTAACACACAGGATTTTCAGATCTAATGTCCGGTATCCAGCTCTGCATGTCTAGATCCAGTTGTGACTGACTGCAGTTCACGCAGTAAGACATCAGAATGGGTCTGTTTTTTGAGTGACCAACTCTGGGATGGATCTTGTTCCCATTAACTTTTAATTTTTATCTGTGTGACCTTAACAGGTTCACATCTGTGTGTTTGCATCATTTGTTTTCAAAGTCAGTCAATATGTTTGTTGGGTATTTCCAAAATATAATTCAGCATACATTTCTGTGTGTGTTGCAGGTTTGATATCCTACACAGAGTATCTGTTCCTGCTGACTATCCTGACCAGTAAGTATATTCCTAAACCTTGCATGAGCCTCTAGGCCTTACAAGGTCTTCCTCCTCTCTCAGTAATATTGTGCTGAATGGACTTGCCTGTGATTTTGTGACTTAAGTGTTTGCTTTTATTTACACAGTTGGTCCTTTCCAAGCATTACACACCTGCACATTTGAGCTGAGCTTGACAATTATGTTGTGTTTTATTTCTCAACACAGCCTGGAAAACAATGTAGTCCTACTAACCAAGTGTACAGATTCATGTTAGGTTTTTTTATAACATTCAGATCGAGTTCAGATAACTGTGTGTTGCTGTTGCAGAGCCTCTTACAGGATTTCATATAGCTTTCAAAATGCTTGATGTTGACGGCAATGAGCAAGTGGACAAAAAGGAATTTCTGAAGGTAAGACCTCGGCTGTATCAGGGTTTTGTTTACTGGCTAGATTTGTATAGTTTTGTAGTAATATTGAACATAACACAGATTGTTCACGTGTAAGCCCAGTGAGCATGGGAGGACACGTTGTGCAGAGAGAATAGTGATTCTGTTTGTTCAAATGTCCACCTAACGCTGCCTCAAGCACTGATGCTACCACAGTTGTAAGTATGGACCATGGCACCATGTGAAGGTGAGGGAGAGCTGCCCTGCTAGCTATTCTAGTCTGTTTCCTCTGTCATGTGTTTTGCACTTCTGAGCCTGAGTCAGCCCCTCAGTTTAGTCCATTTATTTAAAGTCACATTTTTGTGTCTGTTCCAACCTGACATGTCCTCTTGGATGGCAGGAGAAGACCTCTGTGGCTTGGTCTAGAACAGGCCCGGGCTGTTAGGCTGCATGTTGGCACGCTATGCACCTTGTGTCATATTTTCATGTTGTGACTTGGTGCACAAGCCTAAAGCATTCAAACAAAGGGTAGACGTGCATGGTATCTCATCTGCTCCAGTGTTTGTTGTGTCTGACTTAGATGAAGGTTATATACCTGGTTTAATCAATACAACCCGCCTGTTTGTGGTCATTTTTTGTAATAGTTATGAGAAGAGCGATGTATGTTCACATTGTTGCATTCAAAAAAGTCAAGTGTTAACACTTTTGCAATTTTTCATGTTTTGCTTCTGAAGCTGAAGAAAATCATTGGGAAAAATAAAGTTCCTATGGACAGCGCAGAGGTGGGTGCTCACATGAACTTAAAAGGACAGCGTAGCATGATTTTGTCCCTTTTCAACATCACCAACAATGCCTTCCCCCGATGTATACAGAAACTAGCAGAAGAAGGGGAAAGTGCAAACACAACACTGCAGGCCTACTTCTTTGGGAAGAAAGGAGAAAACAAGTTGCAGTATCAGGAGTTCTGCAGGTGAGGAAATGTCCTCTGTAGTCTCACTGTCAGTGATCATTACATTACAGCGATACATTTTGGATGCTAAGGGGAAAAACATGCAGGTCAGACTAATCAAGGTCCGCTCTGGGGGCACATTTTAACTTTCTCTAAAAAATTGGGTTCTCACCTGATAGTACACTATTGTATAGGACACTGTTGCAAGTACACATGTCAGAGAAAAAAATATATTAAGTTTTTGAAAACAAGAATCTGGTGATTAACTTTAATATTAAAGTGTTTGTTTAATTAAAAAAGATTATATAGAGCTCATCATCACTACCATTAAATTAACCTTTGTATTACAAAATTTTTCTATTGCTTTGGCTCAATTTTCACTAGAATTTCAGTGTGCAGATCCGTCGATGCAAAGGCATTCTTGCCTTTACACACAATCTTCTGTCCTGACATACAAAGTGCAAAAGACTAAATCACACACCTCATATCAGCACAAGTTACAATAAATATTACTAACCATACAGTCACTGAACCAATGCAACATGTTTGCTAGTTTTTGAATGTCCCTGGTGAGCAGCATTGCATCATGGTTGTTTATTACTTCACCATCACTGTGACACATGTTGAATGTATGGCAACAGTGAAGAAATGCACTTTCGTTGTCCTTTTTTTACTCCCAACATGTTGCAATGTACTGACTTATCTGTATTAGTAACTGCATGAATTTACTCCCTAATTCAAAAATCAATGGTTTCATTTTTCACCGTTAAAGCTGAAGACGCACCATCTAAATTTGTCATTTTCTTTTATCCCTCCCTCCATTGTACGTTTGGCTTTTTCTCAAGTGCTTATTGATCATTCATTTATTATCCATCGTCTTTACTTTCCCATTTATTTGACTTAAAGATGTTGGACTTCATTGTGAATAGAGGATGTATTTTCAGATTTATTTCTCATGCTCACGTTAAAGTGACTAGGAGGTATCGTATTGTTAATGTCTTTCCACAAACCTCAGCAGGACTCTTGCTTCTCTAAGCTTGAGATTTCAAGTACACAATTTCTGTCATTCAGGTTCATGGAGGACCTGCAGGCTGAAGTCCAGGAGATGGAGTTCCTGCAGTTCTCCAAAGGTATGGACACAATGCGAAGAGAAGACTTTGCAGAGTGGCTGCTGCACTACACCAACGAAGAATACAACGAAGCCTACTGGGAGAACATGAGGAAGAAAATCCCTGCTGGCCAGGTTAAAGGCCTTTCCTTCACCAGAATGCTGTGAAAATTCAGTCAGTGTATCAAAAAAGTGAACTGACAGATTTTGTCTTACAGAGTATCACATTTGATGAGTTCAAAGTCTTCTGTCTCTTCACCAACAATCTGGAGGATTTTTCCTTTTCAATGAAACTGGTCACTGGAGCCAACCGTCCTGTCGGAATGGGTAACAACTCTCTGTTGACTAGAATCCGGATAGTTTTCTCTTAACGTTAATACAGTAGATAACTACAGTTTTCCCCTCTCATTGCAGCCCAGTTCAAGCGAGCCGTGAGGATCGCCACAGGCCATGACTTGTCTGAGAACGTGCTGGATACTGTATTTAAACTCTTTGATACGGATGGAGACAACTGCCTGAGCCATAAGGAATTCATTGGTGTGATGAAAGACAGAGTACTGCGAGGTCTGAGGGTAAGTCTATCCATCTTGACTTTATATTGTGTTTTAATAGCAGCAAATACTCCCTCACGTGTTGTGAAACTACAGCTGCTTAGTTTAGCGACTGGAAAGCTAGCCTGGCTCCGCCCAAATGAAAGAAAGTCTGCCACCCAGCGCCTTTGAAGCTCACTCCTTTTTTCTTTTTTTTATCTGTAAGAATAAGATATATAACTCTGCTGCAACGAGAATATTTCAGAAAAATGCTGAACTATTTCTCCAATTAGTCACCTAAGTAATCAAATCAACTACTGAAGACATTGATGGGAAAAATCTTCTAATATGGAGAATTTGCCCTAATTTGTATCCCTTCGGTTGTACAGACTGAGCATTTTTCATTCTTACAAAATCAGCAGTCAGCATTTGTTACTTTCTTTTCAAAGCTAAAAATCCTGCAGCAGTAGTTAAATTACACATTGCTCCTCTCAGGGTTTGCATTTTGAATTTCACAATGAATAACAGTGCTGTTACAAGTGATAAACACTGTCCTGTCTAAGGTGCAGCCTCAGAACAGCTTCTCTGGCTACTGGAAATGTGTGAAGAGAGAGACCCTGAAGGGAGCCAAGGAGGCCCTAGGGGACGTCAGGAGCCCCATCTGAACCGAGATTTCTTCCACTTCCACTTGGGTACCCTAATCAAAAAGTGGTGCGAACATGAATAGAAACATAACCACAAAGGAACTACACCACTATCTTGTGTACAAATTATGTTTACAGATCAACAATATATATTGTCTGATATTAGCTAAAGAACTCTGGTTGCGGTGTTTACAATATATATATATTTTTTAATTGTTTGGTGCAGTGTGCCGACCTTTGTGCTTAATCAGTCATGCATTTTATATTCATTATGGATGATCACTTTGATTCTGCACTCAACACAAGCAGTGAATTTGGAAAACTAGGTAACTTTACTTAAAGGGATAGATGCTAACTCTGTGCTACTGAAATGTTTTCAAGGGCTTATGCGATAGCCGGTGTGGGTATTTCACCTTTTTTGTAAAAAATATTTATCACATTTTATAAAAATGTTTCAACAATGTGCTGCACATTTGAGCTTCAAAAAAAATAAACCAGCTATAACTAATAACTATTTTGTCATTTATTGTAGAATTGACCTGTTAAGTTCACATGAGTATGTGGGTGCTAATTATCTTACCATACATGTAGCCTAATTGAAAAAGTAAATAGACAAAACAAGCTTACTTCTGTGATAGATGAACAAATTAGTGACCGATGCCAAGGTTATCAGTGAATACAGCATACACGGCTACAATACAATAAAATTACATTGAGCATGAAGCCATCTTTGGTCTTCTTATCACTATAAACAAATACATAGAAATTTGTATTGTATCAAAAATAGAAATTACATAGCCATATTGAAAGTAAATTCACATTTTGACATACAATGTATAAGGATATTACCTAAGAGACATAATGTGGGATTACATTTTTTTCCATCCTTGGCGTTACAATTTTTTTTCTATCCTTGGCTTTAAGGACCCAATGGTTTTGACACATTTTGAACATTCATTTGTTTTTCGAAGAATTGCATTATTGTGTCAAACCATCTATCAATATCGCTGCCATCCATCTGTATCGGACAGTATGCCATGTATATAACAAAAACACAAATGAAAGACAAAACAGATTGTCATACTTAAAAAAAAAAAAAAAGAAAAAAACAAGCATGTGCTTTCTATCCTGGGCTTTGAAAATGAGGCCTCTGCTGCACTGGACTAAAGAGAGGGAGAGAGAGATTTGGTCAGGACTCGACCAGATGCGATGTAGCAGCCCGGCCTTCGCAGGTGAGCCCAGCCCTGACAGACGGACATGTCCCTCTTCTCAAAAGTGAGTCTTGCTGTGTCTTTAGTTAACGGTGTGTGATAGCTGTCCTCCTGGGGTTCAGTTTTTCTGTTTTCAGAGGCACACATGATGAACTGCAGCCCATGCGGACCACTGCTTGATATAATCGGGAAGTGCTTTCAAAGTGTTTGATCCACTGTGGGAAAAAAAGAACATGTGTAAAGATTTTGGAACATTTTTAAACAAACTGTAGGGTGACAACGGGCAGCTTTCTTTTTAACTGACACTAACACTAACAGTGACACTTCGTTTAGGGCAAATTTTGGTTGCCTGGGGAGCATTTCCTGTAGACATAATGTGGTTCTTGTCCAATGCTTTTATAAAAAAAAAAAAAAAAACAACTGTGCAAGCTGTCACAATTGATTGTGCACATAGCAGCCTTTTATTTGGGAGCGGAGACACAATGGTGTACAGAGTATCTGTAGGTCATGAAACACCTTAAAAGCATTGAATTAAGTTCCCTCAAAAAGGCCTGAGAGGGTACTAAAAGTCTGGAATTACCTTTACAAAGGCTGCCCCACAGACATAACATTAGTTATACATTTTTCTGTAGGTGGTGATGGGCATCTATAAACTACAAATGAGACTTGCCGAACAGTGGCTTGTGCTGCAGGAGGCTGGAGTTTCAGTCAGCACCATCAGACACAGCAAACACTGTCACTGTGGCTAGGAAGCGCATCAAATCATAACTGACAAGGGTTCATTTAAAATAATAATAAAAACGTTACTCCATCCATAACTTCCTGCCACTTCTCTCGGTCCAGGTCACATTAATTAATTAATTATATTACTAGAAATTAACAGTTATATACAGCAGGAAGTACAAAAATGTGATATGTCATGTAATTCATATACTTTAACTGAAGGCCTTATTGTCTTATTGGTTTTGCGTGTTAAAGGTCTTAAAAAGTCTAAAATCTAATTTGGTGAAACCCTAGGTCTACTTTTAAGTGTCTACAACATCCAGTACAGTACTTAAAGCACAGTGACACTGTACTACCAAAGAAATCAAAGCTGATGTGAGGCTGTTAACACACAAACAGTGCAAGTGAACTGCAAGATAGTGACAATTACACCAGTGTTTTATTTTATCCTGTTGCTTCACTTTTTCCCCTCAATCGGATCTCTAAATCAGCATCAAACTGTTGAAGGCTCTACACAATGACAGACTCCACCTTTGTTTTATTGCTGCTTAATGAAGGGGCCGCTCAGGTGCACCAACAATGAACTCTTAATTATAGAAAGTGAATAAAAGTGTAACGTGTTTAAGCACATTTTCACACTGCAGAAAAGAAATTGCAGTTCTCTGTAAATGAAAACGTGTGTGTGTGGCAGTGTTCCAGTGTTTCCACTGTAGGGAAAGTATTTCTCACATGGAAGTTACATTTCCAGTGAGAACTGACGAGCTTAAGTTGGCAGGAGATAATATTTCTTTACGGGACGCAAAGTATAATAAGATTAAACTAAATGTTATCTACACTGCTAATTCCCCCTTTGTAAATTTGCCCTATGCTGCCACCAAACGTCACATTTAGCCTTAGCCTGTGTAGTATATTTTGGATAATACTAAGCATTGTGATAATGAGTTGTAATTGTTGTTATTTAGATGTATTATTGTTTAGTTTTTTCTGTCTCTCTTTACACTCAGTGAGTGGCATATAGCTATTCTTTTGATACTGTAATACACTCAAACACTCGTGCCAATGCTTTTCAAGTCTCTCTTCACCTTTGTATATTATATTGCATGGTTTGGCTGTTGAAATGAAGAGAACATCACTTATTCTTGCTGATTCAAGTTTAACCATGAGGATTAAAAGTTGACCTGACATCCTGCTTTACAAATCGGCCACACTAACTTCAACTAATATGCAATTTCAAGCCAGGCAGAGTCATAGCTGAAGATAATTGAAAGACTAATCACTTGATAACACTGCTTATTTCCCTTTCTCACTACCTCTCATTTGGGGACTTTCGATCATGTTTTTTGTTTTGATTAGTTCAAACTGTTTAAATGTAATGTTAAACGGAGCGGTGAGATCCTAACCATGTCTCTCAGGACGGCTCTCGTCTTACCATTCACCACAGCAGGATGGAGACGTCAAGGGTCGTTCTCCTTCTTCACTGTCACGTCTCCGTCTCCGGCCAGGATGGTGGAGATCTCTCCCTGCATGAAGGCCCATGGCACAGTGGATCCAGCCAGGGGACAGCGCTCTCCACTGGGGCAATACACCTCCCCGCCTTGACCTTGGTTGCGGATGAATCCTCGGGTACAGGGGAAGCAGAACTTGTGGTGCGGGACAGAGGGACACTGGACAAAATGAGTGTCCTCCAAGCGCTCTCGGCAGAGGGTGCAGCAGAGCAGAGTGCCCTGAGCGTTGCTTGTAGACTCCCCAGCTCCGGTGTTGCTGCTCGACCCCACCGCATTTAAACCCTGCCCCATAGCTGCCTGGGAGACTGAGGTGGAGGCAGTGGAGGGGCTGCTGCTGGTGGGGCGCCCGGCTGAAGAGGAGTGGGCTGTGGACATGCTGGGGCTGTCTCTGGCCATCTGGCTGGAGCTCAGGCTGTCTGCGACTCCCATGAGCGCCGAGATGGGTGAGGGCTGGCTGTGTAAACGGGGCGGGCCCTCTTGGGGGACAGCCATGCCTGGAAGAGGTTCCATGCCTGAGTAAGCACCTCGAGGCCAGGGCTCTCTCGCTGGGTGATCGGGCCTCCCTTCGCTCTCTCCGTTCTCAGAGCCCGGAGAAGCCTTGCGGCGCCGAGCTGTGCTCTTTGCTGGAACAGGGCGTCCAGCAGGTGCCATAGGCAGCCCTGCATCTGGCTGTGGCAGAACCTCTGGAATTGGGGGCTCTTTAAACATCCGCACGCCATCATTCAACAGCTCGGACAGCCCACGCCAGTCTCCTGTGCCTTGGCGCTTCTCGTATTCCACGTAGCGCAAGCCAGAGTTCACTGCTTTACCTGCGTCTTTGGCCGAGTCACGGAACATCTGCCTGACCAGGTCTGGGACTCCTGAGAAGAACATTCCAGAGCCAACAGGGTACTCCAGAAACACCTTCAGCTCAAACTCTGGAGTTGTGCTGGCATCAAAGGCCAGAACACGACCCATCAGATTATGGTCTTTCCTGAAGCGCACATTAAAGGGGACGCAGCTGCTGAGCGCTACAAGTACATCCCGGACTGCTTTGGGACGGTTTGGCCAGCCTTCGACCCTGCTACGTGCCACCTCATTCAATTCAGCCAACACTTCATTGTTCCTCCACAGTGCAGGATCTATACCCACCAGAGCAGAGGTGCTAGCTCCCACAGCCTGTCTTCTACCAGCATCACTCATGATGGGGCCAGCTGAGACCGCAATAGGTGTGGCCCCAGTTCTAGAGCCTGGTAATTGGCCTAAAAGCCCATGAGGGTTTGCTACTAACCCCTGAGCTATCAAGGCATGGGATATGGTGCCATGAAGACTAGGAACTGCCCCAACAATAGCCCGACGAGTGTTTGGGCTCTGTCTGCTGCCCTCTGACAAAGCCACATCTTCAGCTCTGTGCAGGCCATTGGGGAGGCGAGAAGACACCCCATACTCACCCCTCCCCCTATCTAGACGCTCTCCATGCTGTCTCCCTGCTTCAATGGGCCCAGCCGGGCTGGGCTTGCCCTGCTGTGGACCGGGGGACCTGCCGTCTAAAACTCCGTGCGTGCTCTTCAGTTGCCTGGCAGTTTCAATGAGGAGCTCTATTCGGTCTGCCCCGTCGTAGTTGACACATCCCCGGCACACAGCCTCGCTGAACTCCCACAGCATGGCCCAGGGCATCTTGGGCAGATCGCAGAGGTAGCACCATTGCCGTCTAGAGGAAGACTGCGAGGCGGAGGACATGTTGTTTACAGGCCTTCGACCAAACTTTCTTCGGAGGCCTACACGTTACGGTCTACGTTTTCCAACAATTCTTTAATTCTCAGACACCACGCGCCACATGCCGCGCATTTTAGGATGGAAATCAAACGCAAACTAACCTCAAAACGCGGCTGTTGACGACAACATTTAAAAGTTAGCGACGTCTTCTTTCTCGATTTGTTCGTGTCGGTTTGTGTGGAAGGAAGTAAAATGTCATAAGACACCGGAAACACCTACGTGAATGACGCTCGGGGCGCTATGGGAGTTGTAGTTCTTTTCTTGGGCCGCCGTCTTTCTCGCTAACATTGCGATTAACAGTTATTATAGTAACATTA